TTGTGTGGTGGTGGGGAGTAGGAAAAATAACCCCCTGCCCCTCCAAACCCGATGAAGTTCAGTTTCTTGTTGCGGTGCTGTGTTTAATTATAGGTGAGAGGGTCTGGCCTGCGTCCAAAGGCAGGCTGTCAGTTCCTCTCTCCTGTCCACGCTTGGCGGGATGCTTCCTCACGCCCACCTTTCCCCCCTTGCTGTGGCTTTGGCTTCCGCCAGATGTCACGCCGCTGCCTGTCACCGTCCCACCTCCCGCTGCAGATCTCCTTGGGTTGGCGTATTTGTCACAGCTCTTCTCTTCAGCTGCAAATTCTGAAGAATTTCACACATCTCTTAATTGCTGTAGTTATTTTAAATCAAACAGCATGAAGTGCAAAGCTGCTTGGGATGAGAAATATTGCCTCTAATAGGAAGGTAAGTTTGGGGGGAAAGAAAAATGAATCTCTCCTGGAGTGTCAGTCACCCACTCATTTGGTAGCGTTTTAATTATACCAGGCTTCTAAATGAGTTTAGAACTGTTGGCATGGATTTAGTGACGAAGTCCAGGGCTGCCTTTGGAATGGACAAAAGGGTTGAGATGTCAAAGGAATACTGGTCCCAGCACAGAGGTGTTAGTCCCACTAAGACAGCAGGGAAAGGTGCAGTCTGCAAATGTCATTTGTAATCATGGAAGTAGTAAATAGATGATATATGTTTTCCAATGTTTAAATCCTGCCTTTCTTCAATAATAATAGGAAGGCATGGAGGATGCTTGATTTACATTTGAGTTTTAAAAAGTTGTCTCATAGACCATTAGCGGGAGAACTTACAACTGCAAAACAGCTTACAGATTTGTTCAAGTCTGTATAACACCATTTATTTATGGCTGAGCATCTCGCATATGCCAATGTTGGTAATTCAAAGTCACACAATAATTTGAGTGATCTTGTGTCACGGCTCTTAAATACCAACTTGTGTGATGTTTCAGAATAAATAAATGATGAAATACAGACTAATTAAACGAGTACAGCTGCATGGTAACTTGGTTCCAAAGATTCTTGAATGCTTTGAAGATTAAATCACACGATTTACAGTGATGTTTGCTATATAACCGTAGCCTGCTTTATTCTTTCTTACTATCTGGTGAAAGTCAAAATAAAGTATCCTGTAATATTTTTTTAGTGCAAATTCACTGTGCTTATTATCAAAATGAACTTTTTCTTGTAGTAAAGCTAATGTTTTGGCTTTAGGGCAAAGTTGTGCTTGCTTGTTCTAATCTGTTGTTAGTTGCATCATCACTGTTTTCTTATTTTGTTGCTTTGTTGATCTAAACTTTCCAGCATTTGAAGAGATATCCTGTTAGTATGATTAATAAGAAACATTATATAAATATGAAAATATTGGAAGTATATAAAAGCAGGTTTTAGAAAATAGATAAAATTCCAAAATTTTCTTCTGAGCCTACATTTAAAAATAATACAGTGCATGTGTGTTTCATGATCTTACGAAGTACACATCTTAGAAGAAGAGGTATAGGGATATCTGCTTTATTTGTTATGGTGCAACACACTAAACCTAAACCATGAAGGAAACAGCTAAGGAATCGCTAGACTTGCAAGCAGAGCACAGTAAAAAGGCACGGTTACATTAATGCAGTTGCATGGTCTTTTTGGAGAAGCTGTAGGTGTTTCTCAATCTTGTTTGATGGGCTCTTGCTGAAGTCATAAACAAGAATCAGAGAAGGCAGCAGATAAGGCAGACTAAATTTCTAGTTTAAGAAGACTGTTTCCAACCAAACAAGAAAGCCACTGCTAACGTGATGTTGCAGTGTCTCAGTAGTCCGTTTTGAATAGAAACAAACCAATTCCTGAGATCTTCTTCACTCACTTGGTCAAGTTATCCTAATATTAAAGATTAAACTTGGTACGTGCAATAAAAATCTAACTGCTAATTAACAAGACAGCGCAATACTGTGCATAACTTTTGCACTGTATGTAAGCTTTCATACGTGCTAAAATGGCTTATGGTTAGCTGTAGGGTGGCTGAGAAAAGAGCATGCTAAATTAACAAAGAAGTTCTTATAAACGGCAAAATGTTCACATTGTGCTCACATGTTGACAGTAAAGGTCCACAAGTTTTATGCTGAGGTGAAAGAATCTGTTGTGAAAACATAATTAAAGTTTGCTTAAGTTTGAATGTGCTATGAAAGCTTTTTTCAAAAAAGCCCAGAACAACTAGTCTTCAGGAGAATTGGAGTTTTATGTTTTTACTGGCTTTTGCATTCCGTATTACCAAAAGACCTAATCATTTTTAGACTGAGATCTGTAATCTCCTGCAGACAGCGTGGATGTAGTTGCTAGCAGCATTTTGTGGCAAAGAATTGTGAAACCCATATGTCTCTGTTCTGTAGGTGGCATGGGGAATTAAGATTCAAAGATTTGGGTGTGGCTGCTTTAATGAAAACATCGCTTCTGTCTCTAGACCCCTTACCACGTCAACCTTCTCCTGGCTGGCTACGATGACCACGAAGGTCCTGCCCTTTACTACATGGATTACCTTGCGGCTCTGGCGAAAGCTCCTTTTGCAGCACATGGATATGGTGCATTCCTTACCCTCAGCATCCTCGACCGCTATTACAAACCGAGTAAGTGGAGTCTACTGAGAAGAACATTCTCCTGTTGACGATTAATAAATTAAAGGCTTGAACTGGGAGACTGATGTTTGCCGAGTCGATCGTCTAGCACAGTGGCTGTGGTGCTACAGATTTGAACTTGACTTGTTGTTAGAATAAATGCAGCTTTAAAGATTGCCTTCTGGTTTTGTTGAAATGGTAATGTGAAACTAGTCAACTCCTGAAAGTGTTTTCGTGTTTGAAGCATAACAGGCTGTAAATGAAGGAAGTTTCAATTTATTCTGAAAAAATGACTAGACTTTCCTGGACCATTAGCTGCTAGTAGTCTGGTTTTAATAAATAATGTTTTGTTAACTTTATCTTCTAGTTGCTTGTCTGCTGGCTATGACATGTACATTTTCCCAGAGTATCAATCTTTAGAGGGCAGTCCCAGATCCTGTTGCTCCATATCTTGGATAAGCTTTGTGTGTGATGTATTAAAAACACACAAGAAGAAAGGTATTCCTAGCAAGATGGTCTTCAGTACTCTGGAGCGGTGGTGATAAAGATTGGTTGGTTTGGTTTACAGTTTTAAGCCCGTGGTGGTGTTGATTGTAGTTTTTTTTGTATGTCTGTACCTGTCGAAAGTTCTAATTTTAGAATCATTATCCAGTTCTTAGACTGCCAAGGAGTAAACGTGGCCCCATCCCTGCTTTACTGATGAGGAAATGTATAAAGCTGGGAATGCTGTTAGTCTGACAGCTTTGGCTTTAGCTACAAAACTGCTTTACTCCTGTGTGGAAAGCTGAGTTTAATCTCATAGCAGAGATGTTTGCTTCGTAATACTTTCATCTATGTCCTGCAAGAAATGTAGCTATAAACTTGAGAATTCTGTTGTGATGGGACTTCTGCCTGACTAGTGGATGCAGGTCTGGAACAAACTCTAGAAACAGGTTTTGTGAGATCCACAGAGCTTAGTTGTTTTTCTAGTCATGTCCCTTGGAAATGATGCTGCTCCATTTTCACTGTTTCCTGTGAAAAGAGAAAAATAGTGAGCTACAATGCCTTGTCATGGCTTGCCATCCCTATAGAGTGCTGGATTTTATCCTAATGTGTGAGAATAGCAGGGGCATCACACACGTGCCTTTCCCGTTGTTAAAACTAATACCCAGCAGGGAACGTAGCCCTAAAACCACTCCCCGCCTACTGTCACTGACTTGCAGCCAGCTGAGGACAGATGGAGCTGATTTAAAACTGTAATAAACTCGAGGAGAGAGAGACGGCTGGACTTCTCCGAAGCCCGGTCCCTGGCCATGGGAGGCAGAATTCCGTCATGCTCCCCATTCAGTGTAACAAATCGATTCTCAATGGCTTGTTGCAGTGTGAGTGCTTTGGTGCAGGGCATCCTCAGTACATCTGGAAAGTGTTTTCTGTGAGCTGGGAAGGAGAGGTTTTGGTGCTCAGCTGAAAAGTTGTTTAAATTTAATAAAGTTTCTGTTGAGAGAAATGGCCTCTAATTCAATCAATCTGTGGATGTTTTCTCTTTCAGGTATCACACGTGAGGAAGCTGTGGAGCTCCTAAAAAAATGTCTAGAGGAGGTGAGTTGCCAAACTCAGGCCCTCACGATCTTGAGAAAGGAATGTTTGTTTGCATTCATTTGCTGATATTTTCCTGTTCCTCCTGTCGCATTTTTTTGCTGTCTTTGCCAGAAGGGGTAATAAATGCACATTGACCAGATGCGGGATAGCTACTGAGGAAAAGGATTTGTGGGCACTTGCATTGCCTTAGTATGGTTCATGTGCTCCAGAACGTAAACTTGAAGCTTAATTGCTTTTCTTTACTTCTGCTTCTTCCATGCTTAGCATAATATTGATACAGACGGTCTTCGAGTTTTTCCTTTTATGTTGCTTCTGAACATAACGCAAGCATCATTCTGCTACTTCTACTTACACTTCACCAGTCTGTACTTCTCAGTGCACTTCTGTTCCAGCATGTGAAGTGATATCTAGCTGAGGAAAAGATTTGACCTTAAAGTTTGTGATCAATTTTAGTGTAAACATAAATAAACATTTCAGACTCCAAGGCTTTTATTGCAGGAAAATATTCTTTGGCCTTGTCTTTAAGAGATTGAATTGAATGTAATTGGGAAGAAACATCTAGGGAAACCTCAGGAAGAAGTACTTGAAAGAAGTTCTGTTTGAAGTAGCTTTCTGATACGTATGCTTTGTGCCCTAGGTTGTAGCCCACTCTAGTCTTCCTGCTTAAATGTCTCCCTTATTAACAGGCTTCTCTGTTTTGCATCTCTAGGCTAGGCTTGTCTAACATGGATAGTCTTATAGCAGAGAACAAACTCGTACTAACTGATTCCTGAGCAGTGAAAAAACCACTCGTATTTCCTAATATTTCAGGTCACTAGAATCAGGATGGAAATTTTGATGTGCAACAGCACATCCCTTAAATTATGCTCTCCTCTTTTATTTAAGCTTTGAATGACTCTCATCTCTTTTGTCTTTTTTGTCTTTTGTTGAACAGCTTCAGAAACGCTTCATCCTGAATCTGGCTTCTTTCAATGCCCGGTTCATTGACAAAGATGGCATCCATGAAGTGGACAATATACCCCTTCCAAAAGCCATGTCCTAACCCCTGAGATCTTTCTTCAGCAGTCGTCTTTTTTTGTTCACTTTCATCTTTTTCTATTCATTTGAGGCACACAAGTCATGTAGTGCACTGGGAGATCGAATAAAGATTGACATTTATACAGCCGGTTTTATCTTTTTATTCCACTGATCCTTCCTGAGTATCAGTAAATCATATTTAAGTAAATCGTGCTGTGGTGAAGGTGAAACTTGATTTATTATTCATGGGTGCACATTCAAGTTACTTATCTTTCTTTCCTCTTCTGAGATTTTGACTCCCCCTCCATAAGTTTTCTTATGTGGGGGCAAACTGTAACTATCAGTGTGCTGTCATCCACTCTCATAACTGAGTGTTAAAGCTCAGCAAACACCGGGCAAGTGTTTCATGCTAAACAAACAGCATCTACTTCATTTTTCCAAAGATGTTACTACTGTTTGCTTTATAAAAAAATAATAATTAGGTTGTCAAAGACTTCATCTGCTTTTGTTGTAATCTAACATAGAATCTTTTGTTTCAGTCTAATCCAAGTGAAGGGTGAAAGAACAGATTTTCAAGTGGAATGGGTTTTAAAATGCTAGTGTCATTTTTAACTCACCTGGCCATGGTTCTGTTACTGCAAAAGAACATTCTGCTGCTGGCACAGTAGGCTCATAACTACGTTACATCGGTTTGTACTTAAAATATTTATCAGTTGCATGGTTTTTCTTAGTTGATGTGTCTGTACATTTAGAAGAATATGAAAGAGGTTCAGTGAGAAATAAAACTGCAGCAATTCTCAAAGATCTTTGAATTACTCTTAACTAGCTGGAGCTTTCTTTCCATGAGAATAATCACTGATCTGTCTAGGCTCCAGATGATGCTTCCATATCAGAACTCCATTCACGGAGCAGCCTCAGGTAATTATCACGTGGCTGATGGCTGCACTCTGCCCAGAAGTGCTTCTTCTGAGTAATTTTCATTGAGACTGCTTCCCTACTTGAAGTTGCATTGAAAGAGTTAACCATTTAAAATGCTCTTGCTTGTTTGACGTTTCAATAACCTTGGAGAAAGAACCTTGGAAATAGAAGGACGGATGTGTACAAGATTGTGTGTTACTTGTGTGGCATGGTGTAACACCCGAGTTCTCAGGTGGGAAAGGTAAGTGACAGACCTAACTGTGTTTGTCAAAGCTTTTCTGGTCTTGCCTCAGCAGTGTGTTTGAGAATGTTTGTTAGTCTCTTCCCCAGTAAGTTGCTAATCTTAAAGACCAAGTATTCCCATTTTACTGAACATGAAAGAACTGGATTAGAGACCGAGGCTCGCTTAATGTCATAAAGAAGGTTGCAGCTTCAGTGCCTTAACTCTTCCTGCCTCTTACGACTGCCCTTACTTAAAGCTAGTTCTTAACTGAAGTCCCATCAGGGCTTGTAGTTTAACTCTTACCAGAAAGAGTTGAATTATCAGCTGGTTTTGGTGTGGTGATTGCTGCAATGGCTTTTATTTAAGGCCAATGGTATATAACTGTCTGAAACAGTTTGCGAAAATTTATTTTGTCTTAAACATTTGAAAAGGTTTTTGAAAAGGAAGTCCCCAGCCTGAATATTTTCTCCTGGCAGGTCACACTGAACATGAGCGGAGTCTGACTGTTCCAGTTCCGTGGGTGAAATCTCACCCCTTCATGTTGCATTAATGTATTTGTTAAGCTTAATATGCAGCATTTCTGATTTATTTTACCACTGCTGTTGAATGTTTTTGCAGGTTTCTTGTTTCTCTTCTCAAAGTCATCATTGCAGGGTGGCTGAGCTGATGTGATATTTTTGTCACTGCATATCGAAGCAGCGATGCCTCCTTATTGGAGTTACTCATTATTTCAGACACCCAGACCGGGGTGTGGTGCTATGAGATCGTGTGAGTCTGGCAGAGAGTCTGCCTGGAGTTGGTATTGGCACCTATTTGCATGCAGGTGATTAATAAACATAAAACAATTATTCCCTTGCAAACCCCCGTGTTGGAGTCAGGTTGGAGTGGAACATATGTTTTGCCTGGGGGCAGGGCCCAGGATCTGAATCCCCCACGGAGTGAGAGATACGAGGGGTTGCATCAGAAGCCAGCAGAGCCGCAGCCTCTGGGGTGAATAAACGCAGGCCTGCATTGCAAAGCAGGAGAACAAAAGAACTGGCCCCCAGTGAGCTTGGACCCTAGCCTCTAACGAAGTAGACGCTTTTGATGACTTTCCAAGAATTTGCACTTTTTAAGGAAAGGTGTGATACTTAACGCTGTGTAACTTTGGGTTGTCTTAGAGGTCTACAGTGGTGATCTTTACATTCAGAAACGTTCAACTTTCATTTTTAACAGTAATATGTTTGAAAAATCAATCAAGTTTCCCATTTGCATTACTTAAGGAGAAGAAAACCTCTTACCTGCTTCAAATTTAGCCCTGAAGCTTTTGGAAATGGTTATTTTGCCTAGAATCCAGGAATACCTTTTGGAAAGAATTCACCTTTCCATTTGAAAAGCATCTGTATGTATCGTGACAGGCCTCTCTTTCATAAGAAATCTCTTTAAGAATTGAGCACTGCAGGAAAGTGCTGCTTGCTGCCAATAAGTTTTTGGTTCTTCATATTATAAAAAATTAATGTTGTAAACCAAGGTAAGGTATTCCTAGGGCATTGTAGCCGCAGTGAGCTGTTCTGCTTTGCTTTGGCTGGTAATTCTGACCATATGTTTTACTACCAAAGCCTCAGGGCCTAAAGAGTTAACAAGGCGCTTTTTCTTGGTGTAGGTTTCCTGTTTAAAGACCGTCCCTTCCTGAGCACTGTGTGTGTAACAGATCACTGCGCTGGCTCATCTCTTCCAGAGCTCCGAGCCTGCTCGCAGGTCGCTTTACAAGGGAGCACAGCCTCTGTGCCTTAGGCCACGTTACCTTGGGAGAGCTTTGCTGAAAGCAGTGCGTGTGTAGGTGCAGTGCTAGGAGGTCGCTTTCTTGTTGTTCGTTATACCTCTTCGTGGAGGTTGGGAGAGCTTTGCTGAAAGCAGTGCGTGAGTGTAGGTGCAGTGCTCGGAGGTCGCTTTCTTGGTGTTCGTTACACCTCTTTGTGGAAGAAAAATCTGCATTTTGTAGAACTTCATGCACGTGAGAAACATTGGCACAGCGGAGGTCATCGGTCATCCGCTCAGACGGCTGGCTGGATTAGTTCTTAGCACAAGTTTGTAATGTCATCAGGATGGTTCTGCGGTCCGAACAGTGACGAGATGGCTGGAAGTTGTCTTGAGTGGCGAGGCTGCTGCCCGCATGGGAAGGCGAGTGACAGCCAGGCACAGACACGCAATTAGGAACTGAAATGGCTGAAGGGTAGAACGCACCTCCCCTCTTGCTGTGTTCAGCCTGTACATGGCACTGCTGGGGGGGGGAGCGCCCCAGGTTGGTTCCCCTGGATGTTTCCCCAAGACCTTCCCAGCCCTACGAACTCGTGAGCCCGTTCAGTGAAGCAAACCGAGAGATGCTGCAGCCGCGCATCGGTGCGATGCCTTGGGCAGGGACTGCTCTTCCTGGGGGACCTTGGGGGCCTGCGGTAGGGGTGCTGCTGAAAACTGGTGGGCCAGCCGGGAGACTGCATGGCAACGGAATAAGCAAAAATATGGAAATCAAGCATGTCTGGAGCGATCCCGTACAGTATTCTCGGCCGTCTCTGAGTCTGGTTGCTGGTCGTGGTGAAGTGATGAAACAGTCGCTGGCAGCAACTGTGTGCAACCAATGGAGCTGTCGCTTCTCGGAGCAGAGGGGAGGGATCAGGCTGAACCCTCCCGAGGAAGTGTTTGTCTTTGCTCTCGTCTCTGGTTTTGACGCCAGGTTCCTACAAGAAGCGTGAGCTGGTGCCAGGGCTGACGTTATGGATGTCATTATGGATTATGTTCACCGTGCTTGGGATTTGGTCGGTTCCATTTTCCCGTCTGAAGCAGAGACAGAATATTCCTTTTGTATAAGACAGCCTGACATCTAAGGAAGGAAAAACCTCTGACTTTGCTGCCTGTGAAGCACTGTATGTATTGTGTCTGTAAGGGAAAATAAATTTATTCTACTCATAAAAAATTTATCCTTCAAGCCATTTTTATTTCTTTAAAGGTTTAACCTTATACAGAGTTTCCATGTGTTGTTATCAGTCTGCCATCAACAGTAATTAAGTGCAGGAAATTTTCATGTGAGCACTGATCAAACTAAACAGACATGAGTTGTTTTAACAGGTTTTAAAAAGCAAAATGGAAATGGTGGAATTAAAACATGCAGCTTCTCTTTTTTTCCACTTTCTTGACTATGTTGGTTTAAACTTCTGCGTACCCCTGACTTGCTGAGGACTATGCTAAAAATAAGTTAGTTGTCTTGAAAATGTAAAGTGACAGTTTAAGTGTTTTGTTTCTGTGCTAATGTGCAATTAGGTAGTTATCCAATAAGCTCATTCATGTAGTCTTAACTCAAGACAGCTGTGCAAGGAATGGCAAAAACCCTTACTGTTGAGGGATGCTGAGAGGGGGAAGGATGTTCAAGAGGATCCATTTCAGCATTGCTAGTAGGTTCTTCTTCCCTGTGTAATATAGTAAAGCGTTAAAGGTTAGCAAGATTTGTGAAAAATTAAATTCTGCTGATCAAATCTATAGAGAGGTGAAACTAAGATGTGGCCAGATCTGAATGCCAGCCAGTGTAGTGAAAGTTTGTATCTAGAAACTAAGGCAACCATACAAGGTGGGGCCAACCTAATAATCTAATTGTCCAAAATGGTGACTTGGCGAAGTGTGCTTTGGTTTGGGTAGCGTACCTGTTGCTTAGCAGAGGCTTCCTTGGTTTCGTCAAATATTTCTAGCGTTTCGGCACAAACATGAAAGTAGTGCATCTCCTTGAGTTAATTTACAGAAGCCAAAGCAGCCTCCGTCATATTTTGCGTCAGTATTTGTAGGCTGATTGACCATCCTGCTGTGGTACCACCGCGATGGCTGGGGGCTTGAGCGGTGCTTCCTCTCCTCTTGCTAAACGTTGTGCCCAGAATGCAGCAGATGCCACCGCCGCTACCAGAGCTCTTTGGACTGGGTTTGGGGAGAACGCCTGTGCGTCTCCAGCCTCCTGCATTCAGCAGAGGGCAGTGAGCTTGCACGCACACC